ATAGAATCTCTATAATTATAATCATTACATTATTTGATCTTTATTCCTTTCCTAAATCTTTAATAAATTATTATTTATTTTTATTATTAATTTAATAAATTTTTGTTAATAAATTCTCTTATATTTTTATAATTTAATTGGTATAAATATTTTAACAGGCTTGTATATACAGTATATAATCATATATAAGGAGGACAGTTATCATAGTGCTAATTGTTATTGAGTTGCTAAGCAGCAATATATTGTAATTGACACAAAGAAAATGGTCCACTTTACTATATATATTTAAAGCTGATCAAATGATATTCCAATTATTTATAAAAGTTAAAAAGGATTTATTTATTAAGAGAATTCTTAAAAAGTCCTAATCCTTGAACACAAAATCTTTTGATAAAAGATTATATAACAAACTTTACATCTTCCTATCAAATTCTCCTTATATTACTAAATTTGATCTCAATAATTATATCATAACATTTGACAATAATTCATATTATACTGTAATAGTAGAAAAATAAAAATCTAAATATATTGAATAAAAAACCTGTTTTTTTTCTTCAAGACAAAAAGTTATCTTTATTAAAATCAATATAATAAAGCTTTTCATATATTAAAGATCTGTTATATATAAGTCAATTTCAAGAGTTTGATTATAAAAACTCAAGTTGCATAAGAATGGAACTTTTAATCAAATTTCTTAAGACTGAATATCTTATAGATGAAGGTTGTATAGAGAAAAGCTTTTGGTTTAATATTTTTTTTATTTATATGGGTAATTATTTTTGAGGATGAACCGGAAATTTTCTGGTGTGATCCTAAATTTATACTATATAAGTATTGTTTAAAAGCTGGGTCCGAAAAAATCATACCTAGCATTTCTGTCACCTTCAAAAATAATTACCCATATATACTGTATATATTAAGTTATGTGTATTAAAAATCTTCCAAATACTATATAGTTAAATTTTTGACTTTTAATTTATTTTTTTAAAGCTTTTATAATAATATTTTAATTAGGTATTTTAGTTTCAAAAATTTGAAATAATATATTTTTGATATTTGGTAAACTTATATTAAATTATATTGATATAAGTATTAGCTTTCCAATATTTTAATATATAAAAAATTACAAAAGACTATAAAATATTAAATTTATTTAAAAATAAAATAATAATATATTTATAGTTCAAAATTTTTGAAAAAGTTTAATTTAAAAAAGATATCTTCATAGAGTATATTGCTTTTATAATATTAGTATACAAAATAATTCTTAATTCTAAAAATAATACAATTATAAGAAACCAGAGATTTTCTTAGTTTACTATAGTCTTGTAGAACTTGGGATATAAAAAGATTTGGTCTAAATTTTTTATGTAATTTTTGTTATAAACTTTTAAAAATTTTAGTTATATATAAAACTCAAACCATTTCTTGTTTTCTATTATACAAATCCAATTTTTATTCGATTGTTTTTTAAACTCTATATATAAGTTTTATATCAAAAAACTAATCTTGTTATTTTTAAAATTTTAAAATTTTACTATTCCAAATATTTTAAAATTACTAAAATTACAAAAATCTTTAGAATCCATGAGATTTTAAGAATTTTAAAAATTTGTAGGATTCACAATAGACATATTATATAATTAGTATCAAATTTAATCTTTATATAATTTCCCTTAAAATTTTATACAATATAAAATATTAAAAGCAAGATAAAATTAATTATATTATAAAATAGTTTAAAGAATTTAAAAACTTTAAATTAATAAAATCTTTATCAAAATTTATCAAATTTTTGTAAAAATAATAATTTAAATAAAGAGTAAAATCTTATTTTACTTTAAAATAATTTAAAAAAAAGTTTAAATAATATAGTTATATTTATTTAAAAAATTTTTTTTTAACTTTTAATAGTTTTAATTTATTTTAAAGTAAAAATCAAAAATATTATCAATAGCTTTTAATTCTTTTATATATTGTAAAATAATATTAAATTTAATATAAAAATTTTTAAATTATATTAAATTGATTTAATATTATAAATGATTTTAATACAATATATATTTAAAAAAAATAATAAATATCAAAAATAATTGATAAATTAAAGTTTTTTAAAGTATATATACTATTTTTTTATTATAAATATTTCTAATAAAAATATAAAATTTCATGAGTTGTTCAAATTAAAGAACTTCAAAGGTCTTTGTCTAATTATATAATTAATATAAATTGTTAAATATATATATATGAAATAACTGAAATTATTATAGATTAGATTATATATGAAAAATTTAAAATAATTTAAGAGAAATTTATATAACATAATAATAAATTAATATTGATATTATAGCTTTTACAAATAAATATAGAGTAGATTAAATAAGAAATAAATTTGCAATAGTTAATCAATAAATTTGTATTTATAATAATTATTTATACTTGTACTTTTTTAATTAATTTTTTGCCATTTTAGAAATTTTGCAAAATTAAATTTGAAAACAATATTTAGTGATTGTATTCATATTATCATTAAGAAGTATCAAATGAAAAAAATAAAAACTATTATTTCAAAAGTTTTACATTTGATAGAATGTTATTAACGTAAATAGATATTTAATATAATGACAATAAATATATTGTTTGAATAAAGACTTGCCTTTTATACTTGTTTGAAATAAAAATATATATTATTTTGTTATTCAAGAATAATAAATAAGAAATTACCATATAAATATTCCATATTAAAGTGTTAGATCAATAACTTATATTATAGAGTCATATAATTATAATTATAAATACAGAATAGATGATTTTGTTACAGTAAGAATTACTGGTTATATTTTATCTGGTTAAATTTAAATATTAAAGCAAAAAATAAAAATAATAATAAATTGAAAATTAAATAAAATTATTATCTAGAATCTTCAAATAAATAATAAAGTTTATTATGTTATATTATTTTCAAGTACTGATTTAACTGGATTTCTAATAAAGTTGTATCCATATTATTTTGATATTGAATTTATTGTGAATTTGATATAGTATGCTGTAATTGGAATCTTAAATTTATTATAATTTTGATATTTCTTTGGACCCTATAAATTAAAAAATAGATCTGCAAATAGTAACAATTAAAATAAAAATTTTGGTTTGAACTTGGCTAGAACTTAATGTGAAATATTTGGAACAACAATGAATTTATTAAGGATAGTAAAAAAAATCTATTGCATTTTAAATATATTGAATTTTTTAAACCTATTAACAACTTTAAAATAAAAATGTTTCAAGTTAACTAATATTTATTAATGTGAAGAAAAAAGAACAAAATTTATTATATAGCTATATTTTAGACATGAATATTGTGTAAAACTTAATCCGTTATTCAATAGGGGCCCATTATCTAGTGTAACGGTGATCGGCGAGTCTGTCGCTAAGGAAAGTTCAGATTCGCGTAATAATGGTAAGTGGCTTATTTATGGTGAGGCGGAATTGATGTTGGCCAAAACCTTTTAACACTAGAATCAGACTGCTTTTCCTTTATTTAATTTCTTCTTTCTTTTATACATTCTTGCACACTCATTACATAATAAAAATGATAAATACAAATTAAGCAAAAACTATAAAAATCTCATGTCGAAGCAATTGTTATTTGATTTTCACACTACTCTTATTACATAATTCTATTAATTGATCCCATAGTGCCATGATCGATCCTTGCGCGACCCGGTCACGTGGCAATCGTTGCGATTGTATCGCGATTCTACTTCCTTCTAACATAACCCTTTTTCCAGGCACACACTAGTTTTCTATCACGCTTATTGGGTTCGATACCACTAATTTTTTCCCAATATCGTGGGGAACCCAGAATTCAGTGTAAGGCGCGTTACTTTTTCCCGTATCACACTAGTATAAATCGAATAAATTATTACAGTACTTTATATTACATTGATTCGGAAGCAAATAATAAAGCTATTTGTCAAGTTATCATGCATACGATTATTGGGAAGAGTTAATGTCATCTCAAATCATATTAAAGGATACCGTAACGGTGTAACGGCGAGTCTGTCGCTGACTCTAGCAGAGATTCGCGTAACCATCGTCAGGTAAGTGAACTAAAGGGTGATTTGAGGCGTGTTTTATTTGACCGAGTCTTTATTTATTTTCTTCTCTGCTCTCCTTGTCTCTCCCTCACTTCTCTATACTTTTACATGTTGTTTATACTTTACATTCGGCTATGGCGGCTTAGACATAAAATAATAATCGATAATACAATGACATGGCTAAAGTTAGATAATTTTTTCACAATTCTTCCCGTTCCTCCTTTGTTATCTAATTATCGCGACGATTTATCACGTGACTGACGTCGTGTTTTATTTCTCCCTGTTACAATACTAAGTGAACATCGAACAAGCACTTTAACAAATATTCTTTACTCTAAAAACTGAAGGACAAATGTATCGGAGTTGCGATGATGTGGAGAAGCACAATAAACGAACGAAATCACCTAATCATTACAATAAATTTAAATGTTTATATTGTAAAATGTTTTTCCAGTATTACTCAGATAACTAGCATATGAAGTGAGATAAATACTGTGTGTAATAAAGTTATTTCGATGAAGCTTTATAATGAATATATTTGAATTTATCTATTAATGCGACATTCTTTTGCAAATATTCACAATAGGTTTCCAATTATTTTATTGTTTTTTTTTGTTTACATTAGAGGGAAGACTTTTGTTGGATTAAACGATGTGTTCGTCTTCATCTGCATCGCTCTCATCTGCTTCAAGTCTTTTGTAAGTATTCTCGAGGGCAATATATTTTTTGCGCGTATTCCCTAATATCTTCAAATAACTTGCATCGAGATAGTATTCTTTTAGTAAATTTTCCAACACAGCTACTCGATATTCAATGGTAGCTCCAGGAGGTAATTTGCGCGGATCATCATAAAAAGGAATTCCTGCTTTGGAAATATAATGTTTTGCGAGATGACGTTTAAAGCTTCGACGAAATGGCCGCCAGCATGGAAAGGTTTGGCAACAACCCCTTGTATAATAAATAGATAAAGATTATAGATAACTAACTATTTATAAATATATTATATTGATTACCCACCATGGAGAATGTCTTGGAGATCCAAAAAAGAAAATCAGTATTGCTGCTAGTGCAGCATACAAACCCCCAATACCCGAAATCATTCTAGTAACTAATAATTAAGAAAATATTGAATATCGTAGTAAACCATTATTATAAGGATAGCATATAGTATACAACACGGTAGAAGTCTTACCAGGATTCCCAAAATTTTGATATTCCTCCTTTATATAGGTGATAATATGATCCTTTGGTTTCAGTGTTAAAAGGGTATAAGAGGAACCCAAAATCGGAGTCAAATCTTTAATATTGACATCGATGTATGCATATTGTAAGTAATTATTAAAACCCAGTGAACCGTATAGTCGAGAAGAATAGTGACATCTGACAGTCATAGAAAATTCGAGAGAAACCCAATGACCGCGGGGTATTGGGGCCATATTGATGTCTACATCAACCTTTTGATTTTTGATATTGACATTATTAAAGATAATTCCAAAATAATCGGTAAAAGAATTATTCGGGGATGATTGAAAATCGGACGTAATGTTTAAGATAATTTGATCAATATTGTTATGTGCATATTTATGGGAGTTAAGGGAATAATCTAGATAGCTGGTCACGTTAGTACAATCTTTACAAGTAAAATTCCATCTTCGAGTTCTCTGATCGTTTTCAACAAATTCATTGCACAATGGTAGCCGAGAAAAATCTCCTTGGATGCTATATGAGCCATTGACGTAACTTTTGTAATTAGTGTAATTAACGAATTTCTTGTAACATGTTATATTGTTGATACTTATGGGGGATCCATAAGAGATGATGTAGTAATAATCATCTTCACTGAGAAAACTACTATTAGTAGCGTCCAAAACATAATGTATATTAGGATCTACGGTATATTTAAAAGAATGTCAAGGGCTTATAAATTTCGTTTATGCAGAGAAGATATAATTTGTTACCTATATGAAAAATCGAGAAATCTGAGGAAATAACAAGTTAGTAAAATATTCTTGGTTTTTATTTATTTATGAATTCATAATTTGCTACCTGGAAACGTTATGTTTTCAATAGACTCCCAAATTTCACTCCGCGCGTACTCATCAAAAACCAAGTTAATCCAAGTATAATATGAATAAAAGATGATGACAATGACGGAGACTATAATATATATTCTTCTAAGTAAATTAAGATAATGTGGGTCTGCCAACCTATCGAAATTACACATCATGTATATAGAAAGTATTTTTTACTTTTTTCAACGGCGTTTCTTTTTTATATTTTTATTAATCTTTTACTATATAAAGTTTTGCTATCCATTTTTGGCCTTGACCTATTACTGTATACGGCACCGTCTATTTTTTAGTCTTTACTCATTACTGTATGCGGCAACGCTACAATGCTATAAATAACGCGACTATCACTACTTAAAATGTCTATTGTCCCAAGTGTACAATGGAATTTTATTTTTGTTGACGATCACACGTTATAATCTAAACCTAAAAATATACAGTACGAAAAAAAAATAAGACTAGTCTGAATAGATAGATGAGAACCAATTAAGCATAGAATGGAGACTTTTCCTCGAAAGAAAAGCTTACCGTATTTAAGTAATCATTGTATCTGATTTTCGCTTATTTAACGATAATTTTTCTGTCAGTACCTAAAGCCCAAAATGCCTACTTTAACAGCATTTTTGCGATATTTTAATTTAAAAGGAATATTTGTTTTATTACTAATTATACATTGTATCGAATCATGCGCATTGACCGTAGATAATATTATACAACATATTTCAGACAAATTTTTAGATGATAATACAAAACCTGTTGTAACATTATTAAACTTTTGGTTCTTGTCTCATTATTGTGTTTCGTTATTTGTTACGGTATTGTTAAAAATTCTTTTTTGTTGTTTCTTTTCCATATGCATTACTAAGTCTATATTTTTATACATTTTTTGTAGATTTTCACAAAAACACTTTCAAATACAATTATACTCATGATATTGAATTTTTTATTAAAGTTGATCGTACAGTCTAAATATATTAGTTGTAAATCCAATTTTAACGACCAATACCAAATTAGTCCTTCAACTCTCATCTTTGAGGGTGTACTTGATTTATTCATTTTTCTCATTGTTATTATTATACATTACAGGTATGAACTTAATGCTAAAATGAACAGTGTGATTCTTATTAAATTTTATCTTTTAATTAATAGAAGAAAAAATCCATCAGATACTGACGTTATATCCACAAAAAACAAATCCAACATATTAAGTTAATTTAATACAGTATTGGTCATCCATTGTTTGCAGTTGTCTAAGGTTATTAACAAGAAATTCAAAATCAATAGAACTTCATAAATGGTACAGACTACAGAAGCTTCTTTCGCATTTACAAATCTTCAACTCCTTATATCTCGGAATTTTATGGATTAGATTTCTCATCCTTGATTACATAAGTGAATATGGAGTATATCAAACCTTCTTATTTTCATTTCCATGGTACTGTGCATTGCCACAAATCATTTCTTTTGCGATGGTCACAGGGGTATTTATGGATTTTATACATTGCTATATTGAAGATGAATTTCTTTGATCTGAACGGGTTTATTTCCATAATAGGTTCGGGCAGAATCAGAAATCCAAATGACAATATCTTATATTGCAAACTCGTTCTTAATAGTATTTTACGTCGGCATCAGTTTTATTCTATTTTTTGTTGATAGTAAAGGGGGTCTATCCGGGTTTTTCCTTTTTCTGGAAAAATCGTGTGCATTCTATTGTACGTTATTAATGATCCGCACTTTCCTTCGAAACAAAAAATCACTGATAGTCTTTTCTCAAAAAATTTTCTACTTAGGGATGAAATCACTACCAGACGAATTTTTAATTCTCTCATTTTCTCCGTTGATTCTCGTTTGTTTGACAGTTATCTCAATAATTAATTCCATCATCTGCCAAAGAAATTTTGGAAGAAATTTAAAAGTTTATTGTAAGCAATATCCCATCCTTATAACATATTTGTTCCTTAATCATATATTAATTAAACCTATCTACCAACTCTTTCATTTAAAATTCAGTAAACTATCAACCATGGTCAAAGATTTCGGAATATTACGACTACGACGATGATTTGGATAAGACATTTGAAGAAGCAGGAAACGATTCAACGGATTCTTTAAATGTTGACATATAAATTACTTCACATGTTCGAAACATTGGTCGAACACAGACCCGTAGCTAATTATGAATTGTAATAAACACGTGTAATTATAGATGTATCAATAAAGAATCAAGGTTAAAATTGATTCGATTAGTTACGAGGGTTAAAATAAAAGATTATCAAGCATTAATGACAGATAGTGCATTGACTCTAAATTAGTGGTGGAAGGCGATCACAACTACTATTTAAAACATCAGTAGTACTGTATACGATATACAGTCTCATTTTTATCAAAATGATAGAAAACGAAACAACAGATAACTGGCCTAATCGTCTTGAGCAATCAATTAAGGGATCGAGAATTAAAAAATTTAAATGTGAAGACTTTAAAATACTAAAAACGCTTGGTCAAGGTGCGTTTTGAACCGTATACCAGGCATTCGATAGATATAAAAACGTATTTGCAATAAAATCTTTGAGAATTGAAAATGAAAAATTTATGAATACATTTCTAAATGAAGTAATATGCTGTGTATTATTGATATAATTCAGATGAGTTTTTAGATACCGTGTTCATAAAAAAATTTTTTTTTTTGCAGGTCAAGTTGCATGAAGATGTTGACTCTCATAATAATATATTACGACTTCGTGGAATTATTACAAGAGGTAACCTTACAGTAAACATAATAAACCATTTTATAACGCATCTTAATATTATCATATTATCATTCACATGTTATTTTAAATGTTTTTTCTTAATGGCAAGAAGAAGAAGAATTCTTTCTGATTCTTGAATATGCTGATAGTGGCACCCTTCGCACATATATAAAAACAAAATCACTCGATTGGAATAAAAAACTTCGACTTGCTCAGCAAATGTCGAGTGCTTTAATGTATTTGCACGATCGTGATATTATTTATCGAAACTTGGTAAATTTCTATGATACAGATGTGGGATCATTTAATTCATGAATTTATAACTTAAATTTTTCAATAGCATTCAAGCAACATCTTGATTCACCAAGGTGACTTTAAACTTGCAGACTTTGGATTATCAAAAAGACTGTCGGAACAGTCAGAAAGTTCTCATAAATTATACGGTGTATTGGAATATATTGATCCACAAATTTTCCGTTATAAAAATACAAACTATCCGCGAACAAAAAAATGCGATATATACAGCCTGGGTATTTTGTTATGGGAAATTTCTTCAGGGTATCCGCCTTTTAGAAGCAAGTATGATGGCGTGATCCTTATGTCTCAAATTATAAGTGGTCTTAGAGAATCTAAAATTGCGGGAATATGTGGATCTTTATTCAAGTAAGTTTTATTACAGTATATGTGTATAGTAATTAACATTAATGTTCATTACATATTCGTTGGAATGCTGGAATGGAAATCCGGAAAAATGTCCAGATATCCATCAAGTTTTCGAATCTCTCGACAATATGAACATACCTATTGTAGCTAACGATCTTGGAAATACCCTGAGAATACATGATAAAATTTCTTTATCTGATATATCCAGTGAAATAACTGGTTTCCCGGGTAATTTTACCAGCGGTAAAAGCATCAACATCTTTAACGACGCTTATTCAACGACAAGCTCTGCTATGTCACATAATTTAACTTATTGCCTGAGTTTTACTGGTGAAAAAATGATGCAATTTAAACATGAAAATTTTCATTTCTCTAATAGAAAACAGGCAATACCTCTTAATAATATGTTTAAAACCAATTCCTTATTTCGGCTAACTGTTCGCAGTTGTGAAGATAATTTTAATTTAATAAATATTCGCATGGATAGTAGAGTCTTGAAATTTAGTATGACTTGTTTCGTAACGTGTCAAGGGTTAAAGGGGGGACTTGTACCTAGAGGATTGCGAAATATAACAGAAGTAACTAAATTTATTGACTCGGATAGAGGAAAAAATTTTCCTTTACTAAGTTTTGATACTGTAGAAAATATGAAGCTTATTATTATAGATTACGAACATTCGCATTTCAACTTTAATGTTCCTGAAGGATTGGCTTTAAGATTTAAAAAGCTTCAAGAAAGCAATGTATTGTTTGGACTATATCATAACGAAGTTAGTGATCAATTACTTAAACAAGTACTAGAAAATGTAGTCTCCAGAATAATAGTTAAGACATTAGATGCTTATTTAGAGAACGACTCCTTAATTTATACACAATTTACTAATTTTACGGATAATCTTGGTCTTAACAGCGCAGAAGAAGCTAGGAAATCAATTTTAGAAATGCTTGTTAAGGACCGTATTCGTGATTTTGAAAGAAATATTCGGAATTTCTTGGTTTCTTTTTTCGAGGGTAGCATTTATTTGCAAAAGGAAGAAAATTCGACTGAATCTTCTGCTTATGATATTTTCTTGCAACATTCTGAAATGGGAAACAACTTAATAATTAGGTCTACCCTTAATCACGAACGAGATCGAGTTTGGGCTTTAGATTTAGCTAGTATACATGCAGATTATATATGAATTTGAATTTTTTTAGAATTTAGTATAGAGAAAGATTTAATAATCTGGTCCACCCTTAATAAGGAAAAAGGTCGAGTTTGGGAAATACTGTAAATTTAAATAATAGTTATATGGATTAAAACCATATTTCATCGTTTATGGGAATTAATAATTTTTATAGTGTTTATTTATATATAAATAAAACGTCAACCTGTAAATGTTAAAATAATAAAATGTACTGCATCCTAACTGTTGTAAGTCTAGGAATTATATACGGTACAGTATTAAGAAATAGAAAGTATAATCATTGAAGTTGACCGACTAAAAGTTGATTGCTCAATCAGTATTTCAGGATATACTGATGTTATTGCAGTTGCAATATGAATTGGGCAAAAATCATTATTAATATATAAATATTTTAAACTCAATGTAATATAATGTTTGTAAGTTAATCAGAAAAATAGTCTGGGTTTGATAATAATTAAATTAAACCCTAAATTTGATTCAATATTAGTATTATTTTTTAGACAAATTTACTGTTCTAAATATTTCCTTAATTGAACACGACTAAAAAAAAATTTTGTAACAATGCCAATTCTTAATAACTTTATTGTATAAGCAATAAATTATTGTAAATTTTATGTATATATATATAATATATTGGTTTAAAAAGTATACTTTATATACTTATAATTAGAAAGTAATAGTGGATTTGCTTTTTAATAGAACACGAATTCCTATAATAATAATAATAATAAGTTAATGGACATATTATTAAAAAGGTATTTGGATTTATAAAAGTTAGTTGTTTATGACTACTTATAGCTAAATATATTATTTTTATAATTTGTATTTTTCATTATTTCATTTATTCATATTCTAGAAGAAAAAAAAACATTTTTTTTTGGTTTTAGCAGCAAAGAGAACCGAATTTTCTATAATACCTTATACTATTTATAATTTTTGTTTCAATTTTATACATTAGTTTATATTTATAATACTATAATTTTATTAATAATTATAATACTATGAACTATTTTATAATAAATTTCTTATATATTGTATATGTTTTATATAATTATCTTAAAAAATCTATTTCTTGAATATTATTTTTATAGCATTTTTGAAAAAATAGTTTAAATTTTACAATAAAACTAATTGTTTATAATTTTTATAAATATATAAAAGATACTAATTTCTTATATTAAAAATATATTCTATATATAAATTTTTATTAAATATTTCAAAACTTTTTTTGTAAAATTCCTGTATCAATTTATAAAAATTGTATAATATTTAAAATATTTAAAATATTGTTTCATTCAAAAAAAAATTGTTTTTTAATTTTTCTTAAAATTATATATAAAGTCTATTTTATATAATATTTATATTATTTTTAAAATAAATATAGGCACTATTTTTAAATAATATAAGTGATATTTAAACTTATTAAGTTTATAATTTATAATTTAAAGTAATGTTTTTAACTGAAATTAAGTAAAATAATAATTTTTTATACATAAAATATTGATTATTTTAAACTATTTTTCAAATATATAATATTTTTTAGATATAAAATTCTTGAATATTTAATAAAGAAAAGAAGATTTAAAACCTTTTTAATTTTGTAATATATCTATATAATAAAACAAGAAATATCAATTAATTTAATCAAAATACATATTACATATATTATATTTTCAAGCATATTTTATATTTAATATTAAATAATAATAATATAATAGTAAACAAATTTTTAAAAGATTTTTTTTTAATCACAAACAAGCATTAAATAAAAAACTTTATTTAAACATTATATTTACTGTTCTTATATTGACAATCTTTATAAGATAATATACAAGTTAATTGTAGTCTATTGCAATATAACTTATTATATAAATTTTTATTAAATAGATAGATTTATATACTGTATATAGTGCTGAATAGCCAATACCTGTTTAAAATAATAAAACTATAGCTAAAGTAAATATTTTTTATTTGTATAATTATTTGTATTTTGCAAAATATTTAGAACTTTATAAATGCAAGATTGTTATTGTGAATTAAAGTGATACCTTTTGCATTTGTAATTTTTTTCCACTTTATATCAGATAATAAAATGATTGTTGTTACTAATCATTGCTTCTTTACTTTGTGAAAGGCTTTAAGTACATGGTTGGAAATTTGTTTTTGTTTTTTTTTTAATTTAATCTAGTGGAGGTTTGAAGTTGCAAGTGGCAAGGTTAATTAAATTTTGATTTGATAGAATAATTGTATCCAATTAATAAAATATTAAATGAATTTTGCTATTGAAATTTAATATTAAGTTTTGCAGTTTGTTTTTTTTTTTATTGATAATAAGATGATTATATATATATTCAATAATATATAAAATATTCTTTACATATGTATTACAATTGAATAAAAATTATTAATATATAAAGTAAAGTATCTTTTGTATAGTTTTAATTTAATAAGAAATAAATGACTGCAATTTTTGTTCTACAATAAAAAGAATTCCATATTGAATTGATCAGTTTTTATTAATTTCTTTTTAGCTTTTATAGTAGTCTTGAGATTATACTAATTAAGTGGACTTGAGGACTACAAACTGACTTAGAAGTATATTAAGCATATTAGTATACAGTTAATAATTTTTATCCAGTAGACAATGCTAGTAGAATGTTTGTTATTAATTAAAAGTAAGGTTAGATAAGTTGTGATCTGGATTTGAGAAGGAAATTTTGATATAAAATATTAGGAGTTGTAACTATAAGACTATTAAATTTTTTGCTTTAATTGAATTTTTGAAACTGGTAATAAGATGGCTATAGAGAATTTTGACTTTTTTATTAATATATTTAAGTAATGTTAGATTCAAAGTAGTGTTAAAATAAATATTTAAAGTAGAGAAAAGGGAAGCATTGTTAACAGTTTGATAAAAAATTGGTTAAATATGATTCAGAAGTTTAGATTAAGATTATAGTAAATAAAATTGTTAAATTTTTGAACTATTAATATGTTATTATATGAATGAATATCAATTTTTATGTAAAGCAGTTGTTGAATTAGTGAAGTAATAATTAATTAAAAAATCAGTTAATGATTTATATTGAATAGTTTTATTATATTATTAAATAAATATGGGATATTATAGCAGCTTGTGGTTTATATTGATTTTAACCCATTAATGTTTTTTTTTAAGATATGGCTATATAGAGCATAAATATTTAAGTATTTTTTTTTATTATTAATGATGTAAAGTATACTTTTAACTAATGTGATTAGTAATATATTTGTTCTGGTTTTAATAGAATTAATATTTTGATTATTAGAGTATAACTAGAATTTTCTTCTTAAAGGATTTTTTTTACTATATCTATAAATATAAAAATATATAAAACTACTGTAATTTTTGTTGATGTTTATTGTACAAAGAATTACTATATAAGATTTATATTATAATTTTTTTAACTAATGTTATCTGTACTAGCAAGTCTGTCACCACTTTAGAACTAGGCTTGCCATTTACTAGTATATAGGAGTTATGTCATTTGCAATACCAAAGATATTTGCTGGCATAATAATTTTCTACTTCTTTTTGCTATTCCTATAATTCAATTTTTTATCAATAGATATAATATTAGCTACTCTAGATTTTTTAGATAACAAGTATCTTAATAAGATAAGCTTATTAATTATTGTTGTGTAAATACAGATTTGGTTATATAATTATATTGCAAATGATCATCACTAATATTAACTTGACTATTATACAACTGTAACATTTAATGTGTGGGGACATTATAATATTAGGATTAATAAAGGAAAACTTTATTAAATATGAGAAAAACCAGATAACTCTGTTATTTCCCAAAGGAAAAAGGGCTTCCTTATATAGATAATTTTCCTATATAAATAAATAAAGTAATAATA